TGTGACAGATTGACTTGCCTTCTTTAGGATTGCTTTCAATATATTCAATTGCTTCTTTAGATTCTGATAAGTTAGTTCCTGTAATAAACAACTTTTGAACACCAGCCTGCTTGGCTCTATGTATAACTTGTAAAAAGTCGTCTAATGTGGTTTAGTAATTAAAGAAAAAGAGTAGGTAATTCAGTTTACCAGCATGAGCTTGCTTTCCACGATATATTCCCCTAAACATAGGGTCTGTCAAGTTTGCTCCAATGTCTAATGTGTATTCAAATTAAGCATTTCATATAAGGAAATGTAAAGAAACTAACTAACCGATAAACCTCATTCTGAAAGAGATTGAAGTTTAAATTAAATAGAGAACGCGTCTAGAAATACACAAAAGACCCAGCCACAGGATATATACGTATTATATACTACTTAACCTTTTCATTGCGCACCATTCTGATACACACTTTAAATGCTATATATTATCACTCGTTTGAGTATTTTAGCCAAATAACTAAATAAGAAAGCAACTGTTCTATAAACTAAAGCGCATCAAGTGCTTTCTCTTTTAAGTAAATGAATATAGCAAAAAATTAGGTAAAAGTATACACTCATCCAAAAGAAATATATACAAAGCTAGACTTCCAAATGATCTGCAGATATGCTTTTATTATATTACTAGAAACCACATGATCGTCATCAATCAAGTGTTATATGAAAGCATAAAGCGAAATTTTGCATGGCTCTTGAGGAAATATGAGTATTATTTTGTATTAACTGGCCAGTCTTTGGTAAAAAGAGATGACTTGCTGTTATCATTACTCTTTATGCGCTGATAAAAAAAAAAGATAGTTTCAGACAACAAATAATGATAAAAGAGAACCCATCAGAAGTAAAAGGATGGGATATATATATAAAAAAAAAAAACGATTAGTAAATCAGTTATTTACATTATAAAGAGGAAGCAATAAGAGCGAGTAAAATAACAAAGAGATTATTAATATCTTACCAAAAGTGCATTAAATAGGGTTGGCGATAACTAGCCCAGAGAAGACAGTGGAGAAGAAGAAAAAGAGAGCAAGAGAGAGCAAGAAAGGGGGCGGCCAAAGGAGCGGATGGGGCCAAGGTTTGGTAAGAACCAAGCTACCTCCAGCTAGAACCGGTACTGCTTTCGATTTTATGATCTATAATACTACTTATCAGTTTCTTACATGAGTAAAGAATATAACATACCTTAGGGCTAGCTGGGGAATAGCTGATCTTGCTTTTTGGTCCAAGGAAGAAAAGAAGAGAAAAGAAGCCAAGATCAGACTATTATATGAACTCTCTAACAACCTTTTCAGTTACGTGTTATTTATCAGTGCTGACCACATTTATTTTATACTCAAAAATATCAAGCACATTTTATGTATTATTATATGTTGTCTTTTTAAACAATAAAGAAGACATAGAAAATCAACTAAAGTGTTAATTGTTATTGACTTTGTAATGTGTGCGAATAAATTCTGAAAAAAGACTATTTAATTTTAATATTTTCGCTTTTTCTGATATATGGATGTTGTTACAGAACGTGAGCTTTTCTTTTCCTCTGGCAGACATTCTTCTATCTTTAATGTTTCCCTGTTAAATTTGTAATATATCTCTCCTAGTGTACCGTCATATCTATTTTTCTTTATGTCGAGTGATCGTGTGTGCTCATACTTTTGAATAATAATTACATTATCTGCCTCCTGAGTAACCTTGGCGCTGCCAAAGATCGAGTTGATGTCCAGTCCTTCCCCTGTATCTTTTCTAGGATGGACAACCAAGGTAATATGTACATCTTGTATAGTAGCAAAATTTCTTATCTTTGCAATCGCCTGTTCTTGTAATTCCCACTTGTCTAAACCAGATCTTGCCTGTTGAGATAACATGAACTGAAGATTATCAATGATAATATGTTGAACACCATACACATCAACTGCCTGTTGACATGCAGTCAAAACTTGATGAATAGGTGTGCTGCTATGAAAATTTAAAAAGTATAATGGCAGCTACAAAACCCCCCTTTTCGTGTCAGTATTTCTCTTATTACATGTCTATATAAAATAAACCTTTTCAAATTCGTCAGCATATCTATCAAAATCCTTTGGTGATTCAGATAGATCCTTTTCAGCAAACTGAGAGAGCATCTTTTTAGCCAGTCGCTTATTTAAAATTTCAAAAGAACCCCACAAGGTAGGCACTCCTTGCTTACAGTAATCTAAACTAAGTTGACTAATGACAGTTGTCTTGCCTACACCAGTTGGGCCCGTCAAGATGGTTAGTTCGCCTCGTCGATGGCCCTTGAGGATCTTGTTGAATTCGGGTAAATCACTGCATTGAACACCTCTTGTTGCATTCGGATTTATAATCTCTTCATATACATCTCGTCGAAGATCGTTAAATAATAAAACTGTGTCTGGCTTATTGACACTTTCTATGATATCAGATCGTTCTTCCTCAAATTGATCTCGCACTGTTTCTATTGTAGGAATTTCTGTAGGTTCAACAAGTTCGCTTGTTGCTGTGCTTTGATATCGACATAACAATATAGGTTTATACATCATATGAGCACAGTAGGATGGCGCTAATCTTGAAGCATTATGTCGAATGTGCGGTTTAGCTATAACAAAACTTCTTGTTAATAGCCTATGCATGATAGACGCACGAAAAAAATAAAAATAAAAATAAAAAACAAAAAACAAAGAAAACAAGTTCAAGCGCAGTTGTCAGTTTTTTATTCACTTATTTAAAAGTCTCGAAGGACCATAATCATTTCATCAAGTCGTGCCTTTGCGATCTCGATTCGTTCTATCACTTTATTCATATTGCCTACTTCTGCCTTGTCAATTTCGTTCAACAGATCGATATTACTGGCCACATCGGACCGATTTAGTTTTCCTAATAGCCAGTCCCTTTTTTGTAATTCTTCCGTTTTACGCTGTTGTAAGTTTGAGATGGTTCGATAGATATCATGGATCAAGTTATCATAACATTTCTCAAGTGGAACATACCAAAGATGAAAGGAGTGATTTGCTGCTTTGTCATAGAATCGAGGAATTTCCTAATGCGAACCCCATTTTTTGATATTGGTTGTCATTCTCTTGGACGCTTTTCTTACCTGTATTTCGACTATACCAGCAATAAATAAAGCTTCAAGCTTTCGTCTTATATCACGCAAGGGAATCATAGATATCCTCTGAAGCTGAGTCTCAGTCAATTTGTCCTTGTCAAGTAAGATTCGTACTAGACGGCAACAGTCTTTTCCATACCGCTCAGTAACATAACTTTCAAACAGCCTTTTCTTCATATTGGACCTTAGTTTTTTAAAGTTAACTGCATAATATCCTGTGCCACATTCATCTATTGGGATTAGAAATCCTACATGATCCGCAGCCAGCAGCCGCACATAGCCTTCAATTGCTGTAGCAACATCACGACTTTTATTTGTGTTTGAACCATGGGAGAACACAATGTCGCCACGCGTCAGCAATTCTGGTGGCAGCATATTGGCAATATGTGTTGGCGTTGAGGGTGCTACATGTAAAGATGAATTTACAGAAAATTCCATTGTCTATGGTGGATTCCTTACGAGACATATCTTCCTTCGCTATCTTCATTTTATCTTTTCCATATCTAAGAAATGCTTTGATGACTACACCAGCGGTGCGATTGATTCGGTCTATAGCATAATCACTTATCATCTATCAATTATCAAAAGGGCAACTTAATATACTATATTTGAATAATATGTCAATCAAAATTACATTATTTCGAAAAGTTATATTGTATTTTTCGTAGTTTAGTGTGAAAAAGACAGTTGGATCTACTTTATAAGATAAATCATCTTCTACTGCCATGCGCTAATAATAACAGTCATTAACATATGCATATAGTTTGTGTATTGTTTACCTTTGATTCCACCATGTGTTCATTCATTTTTCGTTTCTACAAAATGTTAGTTCCTTGTTATTTCCTGAATCTGTTCCTTAAAATTACCATGCCTATTCGTTCCGGTTCAAACACCGCATCATTTTGTACCTGAGATGTTAACTTTAATGCCCTTTTGTCCCTTGGTGCCATGATCGTGTATCTTTCAGATTCTTCTTCTCCACTTTGACCATCGAATAACACTCTGCTATGACTTGAGACTACTGCTGTTATGAACTGATCTATGGCCATTTTTGTAAACGCTCTCTCATAAGTTGTCTCTGTAAAAAGAAAAATGTATAAGTCACTATATGTATGTATTTATCAGTGTACCATTATTATGCTTTGCATTATCATTTGGTGCTAATTTCTTGATTTGATTAATTGTAAGTCTTCCATACAAAAAGAATAATTGACATACGGCAGAACCCTAATAAAAGAAAAAGTGAGATTACTCTTGTCATTGATGCGTCCAAAAATTAACATACAGCCTTTCCATAATGCTCTTCAGTTACACGTAGTATTCGACTCATGCGAAGACGCATCAATATCTTGTGTGGATTGGCTTCATAAATAGTATTTTCCCTCCATTCCTCTGAGAAGCAGATAATTCCATGATGTATCAAAACAGTCAGTGCTTCCTTTACACACTTTGATGTGTAATGGGTATGCCGTATTAGATCATGTAGCGATAATCGACCTTTGATCAGTAGCTGTTCTGTCACTTTCTACATAGAGAGTTACCATTATTAAAAAAGCATATGGACAGCTGATATGTGACATACTGAAGCATAGACTCCAAATTCTTCCTTTATTATTTCTTTACAAAGACGTGATTCAACTGACATGTGTAGATTAGAGACTGTATTAAGAGGAAAAACACACGAAATGTATGCATGTGAGAAAGTGCCTTTTCTTACTGAATAATCATCTAGTTTGATTGGCTAATTTTTGGTAGGCGATACAATTTCCGAGAGAGAGAGAGAGAGATACGATTAAATATTTTTATTAAAAAAATAAAAAGACCATCAGGTCGCATTGAAACTATACAATTTTGTTCCGCCCGGCACAGGCCAGAAAGTACATAGAATCTAAAAACCCTTTTGAAATTAAAGGGAAAAAAGGAAGAAAAGAAGCGAAGGAAAGTGAGTAAGAAGGGTACGGAACAAGGATTAGGCCGCAAGAAGTTGGGAGGAGAGAGGAGGTGGTGAAAGCTATTGGAGGAACTTTCGCCCTAAGTCAGGCGGCGGAGGAGAGAGAGATACATTTAAACAGATTTTTATTTATAAATAATCGAAAACCTCTAATGGGCGCACGATGGAGAGAGAAATACACTATTTTCAGAAATTACAGTGAGAACGGTAAATTTTGTCATTTTGCAAAAATTAGATGTTCGCAACCAAAAAATAAATGTCACTTTCCAAAAAATTAATGGCACTAACTCAAAAATGAAGGTTCATGTCCAAGCTGTCCCTTATGTTGGAACGAACCAGTATACTACAGGCACAGTTCCTCTTTCGTTCCTTATTTTTGCCAGAAGATGCACTGCTTACTTGTCTGTTACCTTATATCCGCAATACCAGAGGAAGCCAGTGGTACGCTCTCTCTCGTACAGCGCTTTGGAAAACGGTGCTGTCTACTACGAAGAACCCGATACTCGCTCACTCAAGGCTGCTAAACGGCGCTTTTTGCAACAGAATCTGGAGATCCGCCAACGATGCCGAAACTCCAAATTGCTTTCTAGCTGCCGTCGATCAATCTCCCTGGATCCTATACTCTGGTTGCTCATGTCTAAGTCAGAGCGCAGTCGCTGTATACACTGGAGACTAGGCTGGCTTCCTGGTGGCAAACTTCGGCCATGTCCTAAGCACCCAATGCAACAGCTATCTAAAAATCACGCTATTAGTTGCCTTGATATGCATCGACATCTGCTCATGCCTGAAACAATACGGGATCCATTGTCATTCCTTCTAAATATGCTTCCTTTACGCCCTTCGGTTCCCCCAAACCTAGCCCTCACCTGGTCTCAGCAATGGCCGATTTTATGCTCCCTACTACATGAATTAGATCAGCTATACTATAATAAACTGATCCCTACTAAGCATTCCCATGGTCAAAAGCTTCTTGTATGGTTAAAGCAATCCATTTAACTTTTCATCGATAACCCTACTCATTAATTTCCGTTTGCATTTTTTACCCTTGTACCCACAAGGGGCTTTTTCGCTACCATTCACTTCCAAACGGATTGAACGGGTCCGGGTGGATGTTTATTTTATTATTTTATTTTTGCTCTCATTTGAACCATCAATAAAATATCATGTTTAAACAAAATGAATGTCCTTGTATGCCCAGAAGTTTTATCCTTTGGAAATACAGTGAAGGCAGCGCCAAAGGGCGGGTGAAAAAAAGATCCTAAAGAGCGTTTTTTACAACCCAATGTACGGCAAAATACAGTAGGAGCAACGCCAATGAGCGATTTTTTATATCTTCAAAGGAATTTCATTTTTCCAAAAGGTGATTTTTTTATATCTCAAAGGGTGGCTTTAAATGACTACATATTTTTTCTCGAGAATGGACAGGAAAGGATTCTTGATGAAGGAGGGGAAGGACGTGATGCTATGGATTGGGAAGAAGAAATAGACCCTCATCACCTACATACGCTAACCCGTATTAGGCTCTAACTCAAAAAGCAAGGTTCAGAGCAAAAGTCAAACGATGAAGGCTTAGATGAAGAAATTGTGCTTGAAACCAAGCAACAAAGTAATTCATATAATCAGATTGTTTTCGCTATACAAGAGGGTTGATGAATATTGTCAGCCTTAAAGTATTCATCGTTTTAAATAGTCGACAATAATAATTGCCGATCCAGTTTAATGTAGAGCATGTTATGTAATGGTTTAAATGACACAAGACAAAGACAAAAGAAATACTCTTTAAGACTAATCTTTATTCTGGGATAAAGACAGAAGGAACATGCAATTGAATAAAGGATTTACTATTTATAGTTGCTATCAAATGGCTGGTAAGCCACTATTCTAAGCGTGGATTATAATTATTGAGGATGTGATTGATTAACGGTTCCTGAATTCATAAAGAAAACTTTTAATTCGTTCCTGACACTAACCTTATTGTTCATCTCATGATCTGGATTATGTTACTGCTTTTACCGTGAGAAGGATCATCTTTTAAAGAAGTATATCCCTTTATATAAAGAAGTAATGATTCATATTCAAAATAGAGATTTTATTTAATTTGACTTATCACTAAAAGTGTGTACACATAATCTTATAATGCATGAATTTACTCTATTCATACTGATTATAATCGCTTATCTCAATGTCAGTCCTTAAGCAGACATTGTTCTACGACAGAGCAAACAAACTAGGAAAAACAAAATTCACTTTTAACACTAATGATTATTCTGGACAAATAGAACTTTTTATTATATTTTTACAATGTATAACAATATATATTTAGAAAACAGCACTAAACATATCAAACTGCTAATATTTTGCCCACATTTATAGAAATGGTGGTTGCCCAGACGTGACCACGGGGAGGTAATTAGCAATCCACATCCAAAATGTTTACCGCGGAAGTAAACCAAATGCCATCCACAAGAGATGACCAAAAGAAAAAAAGAAAATGTTTATCAATAATAGGGAATAAACTTTTTTGAATAAAAGTTTTGCACCAACCTATGGACACTATTAAACTAACACTTTTTCAATAAAGAACAATGAGCAAACATTATGGCTGGAGCTCAAGAGTGAATTAAAGGAGATGATTGAAGTGATTTCAATTTCAATGCTTCAGACAGTGTTTTTTCGTAAACGCGGCGCCGATAACGTAACGATATTACACTTTAGTTGATTATCAATCCTTTCTTTATTATTAAAAAGGCAATGAACTCTGTCTGTTTGAGAGAAGAGAAGATAATGTGGTCAGCACTGATAAATAACACGTAACTGAAAAGGTTGTTAGAGAGTTCATATAATAGTCTGATCTTGGCTTCTTTTCTCTTCTTTTCTTCCTTGGACCAAAAAGCAAGATCAGCTATTCCCCAGCTAGCCCTAAGGTATGTTATATTCTTTACTCATGTAAGAAACTGATAAGTAGTATTATAGATCATAAAATCGAAAGCAGTACCGGTTCTAGCTGGAGGTAGCTTGGTTCTTACCAAACCTTGGCCCCATCCGCTCCTTTGGCCGCCCCCTTTCTTGCTCTCTCTTGCTCTCTTTTTCTTCTTCTCCACTGTCTTCTCTGGGCTAGTTATCGCCAACCCTATTTAATGCACTTTTGGTAAGATATTAATAATCTCTTTGTTATTTTACTCGCTCTTATTGCTTCCTCTTTATAATGTAAATAACTGATTTACTAATCGTTTTTTTTTTTTATATATATATCCCATCCTTTTACTTCTGATGGGTTCTCTTTTATCATTATTTGTTGTCTGAAACTATCTTTTTTTTTTATCAGCGCATAAAGAGTAATGATAACAGCAAGTCATCTCTTTTTACCAAAGACTGGCCAGTTAATACAAAATAATACTCATATTTCCTCAAGAGCCATGCAAAATTTCGCTTTATGCTTTCATATAACACTTGATTGATGACGATCATGTGGTTTCTAGTAATATAATAAAAGCATATCTGCAGATCATTTGGAAGTCTAGCTTTGTATATATTTCTTTTGGATGAGTGTATACTTTTACCTAATTTTTTGCTATATTCATTTACTTAAAAGAGAAAGCACTTGATGCGCTTTAGTTTATAGAACAGTTGCTTTCTTATTTAGTTATTTGGCTAAAATACTCAAACGAGTGATAATATATAGCATTTAAAGTGTGTATCAGAATGGTGCGCAATGAAAAGGTTAAGTAGTATATAATACGTATATATCCTGTGGCTGGGTCTTTTGTGTATTTCTAGACGCGTTCTCTATTTAATTTAAACTTCAATCTCTTTCAGAATGAGGTTTATCGGTTAGTTAGTTTCTTTACATTTCCTTATATGAAATGCTTAATTTGAATACACATTAGACATTGGAGCAAACTTGACAGACCCTATGTTTAGGGGAATATATCGTGGAAAGCAAGCTCATGCTGGTAAACTGAATTACCTACTCTTTTTCTTTAATTACTAAACCACATTAGACGACTTTTTACAAGTTATACATAGAGCCAAGCAGGCTGGTGTTCAAAAGTTGTTTATTACAGGAACTAACTTATCAGAATCTAAAGAAGCAATTGAATATATTGAAAGCAATCCTAAAGAAGGCAAGTCAATCTGTCACA